TATGACATAGGGCTGGAGAGTTAATGTAGCCCTGAGGTAGGCAAGTGAAGGTGTATTGTTGGCCTTGCCAGCTGAAGGCAAACTGCTTCTGGTGGTCCTTTGAAACAGGTATGGAGAAAAAGGCAATAGCCAGATTAATAGCTGCATAGCAGGTACCAGGAGATGTATTGATTTGCTCAAGCAGTGAAATTACATCTGGAACAGCAGCTGCAATTGGAGTCACCACCTGGTTAAGTTTTCAGTAATCTACTGTCATTCTCCAGGATCCATCTGTTTTTTGCACAGGCCAAATAGGCGAGTTGAATGGGGATGTGGTGGGAATCACCACCCCTGCATCCTTCGAGTCCTTGATGGTGGCAGTAATCTCTGCAATCCCTCCAGGAATGCAGTATTGCTTTTGGTTTACTATTTTCCTAGGTAGGGACAGTTGTAATGGCTTGCACTTGGCTTTTCCTACCATAATAGCCCTTACTCTATTTGTCAGAGATCCAGTGTGGGGGTTCTGCCAGTTGCTGAGTATATCTGTTCCAATTATGCATTCTGGAACTGGGGAAATCACTACAGGATGGATTCGGTGACCCACTGGACCTACTGTGAGATGGACATGAGCCAAGACTCCATTGATAACCTGACCTCCATATGCCCCCTCTCTGACTGGTGGGCCACAGTGATGTTTTGGGTCTCCCGGAATTAGTGTCAGCTCAGAGCCAGTATCCAGTAATCCCTGAAAAGTCTGATTATTTCCTTTCCCCCAGTGAACAGCCACTCTTGTAAAAGGCGGTACATCCCTTTGGGGAAGGCTGGGAGAAAGATTTAACAGTAAAAATTTTTGGCAGTGTATTGGAGTCCTTCCTCAAGGGGACCCCGCCTCCCCTTCATTCAAGAGGTTGTGAGTCTTTAAACTCGCTTAAATCTGGTGATTGATTGAGGGACCGTGACTCTGTATTCTGGCAATTCAAGTTACACTGCTGTTCACCTGAACTAGAATTCATCCGTTTGTATAGATCAAGTAAATATTTAGTAGATTTCCTATCTATTTCACTTTTGGGGACACCATAACTAAGTATCCAATGCCAAAAGTCCATATGAGTCAAACTATTCTGATTACTGCTTTAACTTCTCTGTCTGTTACTGTAACCATGCCCACCTTGTCTTTGTCGACTGAGTGCAGCCACTTGGCCCCTACTACCACTGGGTCCAATCAGCCCCATTGTAGCTAGGTATCGTAATTCAGTTAGGGCAGTTCCCACTGTCAAATCTGACTTACATAAAATAGCAATCACAGCAGTCAAGGATACTGGAGCTCCCTTCACAAATTTGTTCCTCACAGTTGTGGTAAAAGGTGTGTCCTCTGGACACTCCATGTGTGGGTCTGTGGGTCTAACTTGATAAATCCACTCTAGCATGTCAATTTCCCTAAGCCTTTGGATACCTTCTTCTACAGTATACAAAGGCAGGTTTGGTACTTCAGCTTGATTTAGTGTAGGCCACCTCATAATCCATGCTTCAGCAACCCAACCAAATAAACTACTAGATCCTTTCCTAACTTCTCGAGCTGAAACATTGAAAGAACAGTCTGTGCTCAGTGGACCCATATCAATAAACTCAGTGATCCATCTTTATGTTCCTCGCACCATTATCCCACACGCTTAATAGTCATTCCCACACATATTCCCCAGGTTTCTGTTTGTACATATTAGAAAACTCTAGATCTTTTGGAGTGTAGCGTACCTCCTCCTGGGTCACACTTTGTACTTCACCTTTTGGGGCTCGCTGGGACTTAAGCCTAGTTATACGTCTAGAAGCCAGAACCAGTAGTGTGGAATTGTTTTGAGAACACTCAGCATTATCTTGTAAAGCATCTGCCTCAGGTGATGCTCCAGGCAATGACTCAGGCGAGTGCTCTTTAGAGGCAGCTGGGCTAGGGCTAATCTCCTCAGATGGGAGTGGAGGGGCTAATGGTTTCTCTGGAGAGGGTGGTTTAGCAGACAGACATGAAGTAATCTCTTCAGATGGGACTGGTTCTGCTGGCAGGAGTGATTCAATGGAATTTACAGGTTCACTGTCCCCAGCTTCCTGATTATCTTCCCATATGTCCCCATCCCAAGACTCAGGATCCTATCCCTTCCCAATCAGTGCCCTTACTTTAACTTCAGATACCTCTCAAGGTTTGCAATTGAGCTGGTGTTGTAATTCAGCCACTCTTACAATAAGACTCTGGGTTTTCAGCAATTTCAACCCTGTTATTACAAGAAATGAGGCTTTCTTTCAAAGCACAAGTGGAAGCCTTGAGGTCATGTATGCGGCACTTGAGCCTTGACTCTGAAGCCCTGAGCGCATCTCTTTCCTTCATCAGTTTGTCTAGCGAAAGGACAAACCAACCAGCTTCCTTATACTTCTCATTCTGACAAAGCTGTAGAAAGATACCACACGCGTGTTCACCCTGAGCTTCACCTTTCACCAATACCTGATCTACAGGTGGTGGTGTTTTGCATGTTTGTATCACCACCTCGCTCCATGGACTAGCAGTGATCTCTTTACTGCTGGAAGCAGAGTCATCAATGTCTTTATGACTAACCACACTTGAGAACCAATTTAGAAAACTCGTCCTTACAATTTTGTTTCTCTAGAACCACTCGCGGTACCAAATGTCTTAGGCTGGGTTCTCTAGAGAACCAGTAAAGTGTATAAATATATACATAGAGAGAGAGATTATATCAAGGAAACAACTCACGCAATTGTAGAGGCTAGAACGTCCCAAGTCCGTGGATCAGGGTGGAGAGCTCTCCCAAGTCACACAGCCGCAGAAGCTGGCAAGCCCAAGATAGCCAGGTCAGAGAGCAAGGCTCCCGCTCACAGGCTGTGCAGATCGACGAATCCCAGGTTCGGCAGATAAGCTGACAGCTCAAGTCCCAAGAACGGGGGATGAGAGGACAGGAAACAGCCGCAGGATCCAGAGAGAGCAAAAAGCCAGAACGTCTGCTTATATACAGATACGGGCCACACCCCCAAGGAGACTCCCTTTCATCTGATTGGCTACTCACAGTATGTTCAGTCATGGGAGTGATTACATTAAAACACTGAGACTCATGGCCCAGCCAAGTTGACACACAATCTTAACCATCATACAAACCAAGAACAAAAAACACCTCTCCAGATGATTCTGATGGAACTAGGCTTGAGAACCATTGCTCTAGCCCCCTTCCGTGGGGTGCCCAGTCAGCTTATCAGCCAACATTAACTAAGCATCTACAGTGAACTCATCTCTTTGTGTGCATGCTTAAGAAGCACAAGACTGACTTGGTCCCTGTTTTCAAGCAGTTTATTCATTTGTTTATTTAGCAAACCTGTGCTGAGCATGTCCTGTGCACTAGTGCTGTGCTGCATGCTGCTAAAGGGGAGGGGTGCTAAGATAAGGGCTCAGGCATGCTCGAGGAAGCAAGAATGACACACCTCAGAACAATAAAGAAACACTGAAGATGGCATATGATTGAAGGCTAAAAAGAGTGGTATAGGTTCTAGGTGTCACAGGTGTTCTGAGGAATATCCCAGGGCAGGAATTGCCTGTGGCTTCATGGAAAGGTACAGCTGTGCCACCGGAGATGGTTGAGGTTTTACAGGCAAGGGAAATAGCATTCATGTAGCTAAGGAGGCTAGAAAGAGAAGGGATGGTGAGGAGCCCAGTGACTTGGAGCAGGAGGTTGGAATGGGGTAGGGTGGGGAATAAGAGAATAGGAATGGCAGTACCAAGGGGGTGGGGAGCCTTGGAAGTAAGCCCAAAGAGTATGAACTTTCTTCTGAGAGCTGGGGAGTCAGTGGAAGCATCTGATGGTAGCATCATTTGGGGGAGATTTGTTTTGAAAGTGATCTGAAGCCATGCTCTGTTATGATTATAAATTGGAATTGACGATGGGAAAGTGGAGGCAAGTCTTGGAGGAGATAAGCCTGGAGCTGGCTTGCCCCTCCCCAGGGCCTCCCTTCCTTGCTGAATCTAGTATGTCCTTCAAGATTCAGCTCAGGTCAGCCCTCCCCATGACTCTTTGCCCAACTACTCAGCCGCATGAGGAGTCTGCTCTTTGAACTCCTGCAGCACTCAGTGGCAGCTAATCGCAAAGCTGTTGTGTGACGGTCTCTGGGCAGGTGTAAGCTCCTGGAGTGTGAGGCGCTCTGGTGGCCTTTGTGTCCCCAGTGGTGCCTAGTGTAGGACCTGGCACCTGCAGGTGTTCAGTGGCTGTTGATGGAGTGCCCTGGAGTTGCTTATCTCCACACTGCCTGTGCAATCGCTGCCTGCCTTTCCCACTGTTAGGCTTTGTGTCATCCTCACTGGGCTCTGTTGGGGCCCTGATTGGTTCCTTCTTGCCTGGGGTTGGGTGGTCTGGTTTGGTCAGGACTGGGTCTAGTTCCCCTCACTTGTGATTTGATGCATTCAGAGAAGTGTCTGCCCCCAGAACTGTCCAGCCTTGCTTCCCTAATCTTGCTCTAGACTGGGCTTCCAGAATGTGGTTACTGTGGACGAGCTGCGAACAGCTTTCCCTGTGCTTGACATGGTTGATCTCGAGCGGCGGCCGAAGACCACGGTAATAAGGGGCTCGGGTTGGGTCATGCTGCCCTTTTGCATCACTCAAGAGCCTCCATGTTCACTTCTGCCCTCATGTTCCTTGCATTGACTCCCCTCGCTGACCTTGCAGCCCTTCCCGCTCAGAGCAGTGTTTTGTCTGTGCTTCTGCAGGGATGCCTTCCTGGAGAGACATATGTGGCCCAGGATTTTGGTCCCAGAATATATAAGAATGACCCAGAGGAGCAACAGGCTCCTAAGCCCATTCCTTTCTGCAAGGTTGTAGTTAGCTAAGAACCCCTTCCTGAGCCCCAGAATCTCTTCCCATTGTGTGTTGTTGTTGTGTGCTGTGAAGTCGGTTTTCGACTCATAGCAACCCTACGTGACAGAGTGGAACTGCCCCATAAGGTTTCCTAAGCTGTAATCTTTATAGGAGCAGATCACCAGGTCTTTTCTCTTGGAGCCCATAGTGGGTTCGAACTGTCGACCTTTCAGTTAGCAGCCAAGCCTGTAACCATTACGCCACCAGGGCTCCAGCTTTTCTTGTTGGGAGTTTCATATTTTACTAGCTGGCTTCCCCAGTGCTGCTTGGGAGACCATTAACCTATGTTAAAGTAATTGCTATTGCTAATTTATCCTGAAGCATGCTACAAAGAGTTGTGCTTGTGAGAAACAGCTTGTTTGTAAAAGTAACACTGGCAATTCTGAGTAACTGCCCTTGTGCCTTTTGGGTTTGACTCATTTGAAACCACTGGTTTGATTTCCTGCCTCTTCTGACAGCAGCCACAGGACCTCTCACTGATCCTTAGTTTTGCACCTTCTGAGGATCTCTTTGAGGTCCCCCCGGCCCTCCTCTCCGTCATGTAAACTTTACATGTATCACATAGCCTATATTCTAAGTCAGATCGCCCTCAGAATTCGATGAAATGCAGTTACAAACAGACAAGCTTAATTCTGTTTATTTAGTTTAAGTTCTTCCTCCTCCAGAGCTTTCTGATTGAATCGAGCACTTAGTCCCCTTTGAAATCTTTGTCCTGGAACCATGCAAATTATGTGGAGAACCAGAATATCAGAATTGGAACAGATCTCAAAGAACCCCAGTTCCCTGAAATAAAGACCCAGCAGCACACGGGAATGACTTACCCTGGGCCACATAGCTGGTTAGTGGCAGAGCCAAGACTATAGTAACCTGGGGAAGGAATGAACCCCAAGAGGCTCCTGCCTTCTAAACGGACATAAAGGGAAATGGTCCACCATGCCCTGATGGCCTCCTTTTTCTCCATAGGCTCACCTTCATCTTTACCTACCTGATTCTATACTCTCGCTTGGCCCATATCTTGCATCCTGTCCTTGCTAGAGAGGGACGGCTGACCAGCCCTTTCTGCCGACTGACTTTCCTATATGGCATTCCTTAGCCTGTTCTATGACCAGCCTCATCATTCTCTTTTCACCTTCTTTGCAAATCTTCTTCCTCAGTCCTGTCCAGCTTTTCCTTGGTTTGCGCTAGACCATGGAGGATGGCTTTTGATCTGCATGGAATGAATCTTTCCTCCCACCCACCCTTGGAAACGGGTGTGTAGTTCTTAGGAGGTGGAAGGTGACAACTGTGTTGATGGGCCTCTTCTTTGTCTCTTGGCAGCCCCTTCTGAGGAATGACTTCCCAGCCATTGAAGGTAAATGTGGTCTTGTGTGGGTATGGTGTCTGTTTTCTCTCTCTCCTGTCAGGCCTGCAGCCTGTGGAGTGGCAGAAGTGGGACTGGGTGACAGGACACCTGGGTTCTGTCTTGGATCTGCCTCCCTCCCTCAGATATTAGCTGTTAATCTTTCCTTCCCCATGTTGCTCACCTAATCATTCCAGAAGAATCTAAGCTTAGAGAATCTTAGAGTGGAAAGGTACCTAGAGGTAATCTACTCTAGTGTTTCTCAGCCCTACTAAACCCAATTCTCCCCTTGTATAACAAAAATATTGTAACGTCCCCTTTACTATTCTGAAGTGAAACTCAGATAATATAACTGTCCTGTACATACTTATTAAAGCTTAGTAAAATGTTTGTACCTAAACGTAGAATCACCATGAATATTATAGCTACATACGTATTAGGTGGGACACTTAAATCTTTTTAGGACATGGAACAGTTTTTCATTGTGCAGGACTGTCCTGAGTATCTAGTATCTCTGGCCCTCTCCCACAATCCTCACCCACTGTGTCAGTCATTGTGACAATTAGCGTATGTCCTCCAGTTTTTAACATACCTCCCTAGGGGGCGATGCTGCCCATTGAGAACTAGTGATCTAGTTCTGTTCACAGGGCTTGTAGCTGATAATGTCAGCTGCCATTTGTTGAGTGCTTGCTATGTGTCTGGAACTGGGTTAAGTGCTTTATTTATTTTAGTTCATTTTTATCCTTATAACAACTCTCTAAGTTATCGTTAGGTGCTGTCGAGTCGGTTCTGACTCATAGTGACCCTCTGTTCAACAGAACGAGAGACACTGCCTGATCCTGCACCATCCTCACAGTCATTGCTATGTTTGAGCCCATTGTTGCAGCCACTGTGTCAGTTCATCTTGTTGAGAGTCTTCCTCTTTTTTGCTGACCTTCTACTTTACCAAGCATGATGTCCTTCTCCAGGGACTGGTCCCTGCTAATAACATGTCCAAAGTATATGAGACGGAGTTTCAGCATTCTCCCTTCTAAAGAACATTCTGGCTGTACTTCTTCCAAGACAGCTTTGTTCATTCTTTTGGCAGTCCATGGTATATGCCAACACCATAAGTAGGTGTTGTTATTATTTAGTGGAAGAAACTGAAGCTTAGAGAAGATAAATACTTGTCCACGACCATACAGGGAAATTGGCAGAGCCAGGGTTTGAACTCTAATCCCTATCATCCACAGCCCCCTCTCATAGCCATAAGATGGTACCAGCCCCTGGGCTCAGAAAGAAGTGACTGAGGGAGGTGAGCCCTTCGCTGAGTGCGTGCAGGGGTGAGGTGGGGGAAGAGCAGCCATCAACAGGAGGAAGAAGCCTAAGACTTGTGGTGGCTTATTAAACCTTTTCTGTGCAGTACCAGTGGACACAAGTTAAAATGAGAACCCTTAGAAGCACCTTTTTGGGCTTTGTTCATCTTGGGTGAACGGATGAGTGAGTGGCTCTTTCACTTGTTCAGGACTGGTCAGGGAGCCGAGCCCTTGCAAGGGTGAGTGCACCGTGGGTGAAGAGCTTGTGGTTAGGTAGCACTGGCTGGTCACAGAGAGCAGGCCAGCGCCCTGTAATCCTCACCCCCATGCCTTTGCCCTTTACAGGAGTGCTCCTTCTTGGGGAGCCTGTCCGCTGGGAGACAAGCCTGCAGCTGATCATGGATGTCCTCCTCAGCAATGGGAACCCTGGGACTGGTCTGGCGACGGCCCCCTACCCCCATCTCCCTGTCCTGGCCAGCAACATGGACCTCCTTTGGATGGCTGAAGCCAAGATGCCCAGGTGAGGACCCAGAGTCCCTGGCTTGACCCACTGCTGGCAGGGCAGCCCTGCTGACAGTTCCCGCCCACCTTTCTGTTCCTCTGGGCAGTCAGACCCCCGCCTAGGAGGCCTGCTAGTTGCCACAGTAACTTGGCTTCTGGGAGGACTTTCAAGGATCCCTTCACATATTTATTATTAAACTAAAACTACAGATTACTGAGCACAGGGCTAAAGGCTGAGGATATATTGAAGTGACTTTTAAAACACAAGCCCTGCCCTCCAGAACCGTAACAGTGGAACCCGAAAGACGAATACTTTTTGAGGTGTAGTGATGCAGATTATTCAGCTGCTCTTCCTTCCTTGCCTCCACCTGGAGCATTGGTTCTTTCAGTTGTTTGGTTCCTTTTATCCTTAAGATGTAGGGATGGAGAAAGCAACGATTATTCTGATGATCGTTTAGACCAGAGAACTGAGACCCAGAGTGGACAAGTGACTTTCTCAGAGGCAACAGGTATTGAGAAGGCCCCCACTGCCAGCCCAGCTATGTGGACATCTTCTATCTTGTCCTTTGCTGGGGCTGAGCACAGGTATGCAGCCCTTTGTTCTGGCCCTCATGGTCATTACTGGACAGCTTGCTGACAGCTGCTGTGTCCTGTTTGACTGCTCTTATCTCCAAGGCCAAAGTCTAGAGTCCTCACCTTGCCACTGACTCCCAGCGAGCTGTGTTCACGACCGATGAACAGAGAGTGCTCAGGGCCCAGTACCGCCTCAAGTCACATGACTCCAGCCCCGAAGAGATTGGGGATTATGGTGTCTTATCACTTTTAAAGTGTATCTCTGCAGCTCGAGATTAGGTATTTTTGCTGAAGTGTTGTTCTTAAAGTTAGGATATGCTGACACTAGGTGAGGAGGAGTTAGGCTATGTAGGCTGTGAACTGAATAGCAAGCAGCAGATTTCAGTTTACAAACCAGATTTGAGATTAATTTTTCACTCAGTAATTTAAAAGTTGAAAATAGAATTCTTGATGGTGATAGGGAACCCAAGGTTGAGTAAGGACAGTGTTGATGTGTAGTGAGGTTGTTAACTATTGTCATAGGGCAACATGTGTACTAACTGTTTAATGAGAAACTATTTTGCTCTGTAAACTTTCGTCTAAAGTGAGACTAAATAGCACAATTGGAAGAGCGTAGTCGATGTCACTGAACTCTGCATGTAGAAATTTTTGAAATGGTGTATCTTTGGCTATGTATATTTTCACCAAAAAAAAAAGGTCAAGAAGGGGGAGAGAGGGTTGACATGTCATGGGGTTGTTAACCAATGTCATAAAACAATATGTGTACTACTATTTATTTAGAAACTGTTTGTTCTGTAAACCTTCACCTGAAATACAATTAAAAAAAAAAAAAGAAAGAAAATAGAATTCTTGATATAAGTAAGTGACACTGAAATATAACCTTAATGTAGCATAGTATCAGGATTTGGTTTAGCTACAGGGAAAGAAAATGCAAAACAAAAGTGTCTTAAATATGATAGAAGTTTATTTCTTTCTTATGTAAAAGAAGTCTGGGGTAGGCAGTTCGGGGCTTATATGAGGTTCCACCATGTCAGGGACACACATACTGTTTGTCTTCCTGCTTGTGCAATCCTTAGACCCCTTCATTACATAATCCAAAATAGCTACCAAAATCCAGCCATCATATCAGCATTCCAGGAAGCAGGGAGCAGGGGAAGGCAGAGAAGAATACTTCCTAGGAGTTAGCCCAGCACTTATGCTTTCACTGGCTGTTTGACTGTAGCTTAGTCAGATGGGCACGCTTAGCCTCAAGGGAGGCAAGGAAATGTGCCTTTTTATGCCTAGTGGTAATGTGCTCAGCTGAAAATCAGCACTAAGAGAGAAGGAGAATGGCAACCATAGTCTACCACCAATCCAAAGCAGAATTTAAGCGTCAACTTTCCGGAGCCAGACCGCCTGAGTTGAATCCTAGCTTTATCACCTTGGGCAAGTTACTTATTCTCTGTGCCTCCGTTGTAAAATGAGGATAACAATATCTATCTCATAGGGTTTTTCTGAGAGTTAACCGTGATATGCAGTCTCTAGTGTTAGAGCAGTGCCTGGTACTAGTAAATGCTCAGTAAATGTTAGCTCTTTTTATTAAAAGTATTTTGACTTTGATGCATTTCCACCAGGGCCCAGGTGTAAAAGGTCGGTATGCACAGATACTGCTCACAGAAAGGTGGGTGGCCTAGAAGAGCCTGGGGAGAGGGAAGACTGAGCTGCTGAGCTGTCTTCTCTGGCAGGTTTGGCCACGGCACCTTTCTCCTGTGCCTGGAGACCATTTACCGGAAAGTCACGGGCAAAGAACTGAGATATGAGGGCCTGATGGGTAAACCTAGTATCCTCACTTACCAGTATGCAGAGGACCTGATCAGGCAGCAGGCGGAGAGGCGGGGCTGGGCCGCCACCATCCAGAAACTGTATGCTGTAGGGTAAGCTCTACTCCATCTTCTCCATCCCTTTCACACCTTCCCCTTCCCTTCCCCCATCTACTTTCACCCCAGTTTTCCAATATCCAGTTCACACCCAACCCCTAAAATCGTTCTCTGCTCTCTGCCTTGCAACACTGAACTTGGGTTTTCTCCTCTCTTGTTTTCCGGTATGGCTGCCCTGCCAGTGATAACCCTATGTCTGATGTCTACGGTGCCAACCTGTTCCACCAGTACCTGCAGATGGCAAAGCACCAAGGGACAGGGGAGCTAGGAGCCAGTGGTCTGAGGAAGCAGCAGCCGTCAGCAAGTCAGAGCTGCACCTCCATCCTCGTGTGCACTGGTGTGTACAGTCCCAAGGACCCGGAGCAAGTGGAGTCTGCCCAGGGCAGAGAGGAGCCTCCATTCCACGGGCACCGCGACTTCAGCTTCAGTCCAGGGCTTATGGAGGCGTCCCACATTGTGAACGACGTGAATGAGGCTGTGCAGCTGGTTTTCCGCAAGGAGGGTTGGGCTTTGTAGTGAGGGCTGTGCAGTGGAGGCAGGGGGAGCTTGGAGCTGGCGTTGAATCCTGTTTGCTGGGTTCTCAAGTCAGGGCCTGGTTCCTTTGCCCCTCCCTGCTGCCCCACAAGGGTCATACTACTGGTCACTTGGAAGAAGACAGTGGCTTTTTTCCTGCTAAGCAGTAGCCATGGAAATGTACCCTGAGTGGCATTTCAGGTGCAACTGCCAGGATTTCCTGGACCGAATTCCTGCTCTGCCTCTCCTGGCAGTCTGACCTCAGGCCAATCCCTTCGCCTCTATACCTCAGTTTCCTTCCCATTTCAGTAGGGACTTCTGAAAAGAGGGGAGGTAGTATGGAATAATGTGGAACTTTTTACAGGGCTTCTGCCCACATTGAAGGAACCACTGCATGCCAGCAAGGTATGTAGCTAACACTCAGATACTGCTTTTTACTGTATTTTAGTTTATTACCCAGAGACTTTTGGGCTTATTTTTTAAACTTAAAATAATTATAATAAATATTCATTATTCTGTCTCTTACGATGCTCTGTCTGAATGGTACTCTTGGTCCTGTGGGGGAAGGAGAGTGGGTGAGCGGTGTGGGTGACCTTGAGGCAGGGAGACTTGTGGCATTTCACTCCCACGAGGTGCTGACTGACGTCTCTTTTCTTATCTCTGCTCCTCTTCCCACCCCCAAACCCACACCCAGTCTGGGCTGTGAAGCCAAGTCTGTGTAAAAACGACTTACAGCCAGGCTTTGGCATATTTAGCAACTGGTGTGGAGAAAAGGGGAATCTTGTTGTAAGGGAAGGACTTTTCCTATGGTGATTCTAGAAAGTATATGTTTGTTCCTATAACCCTTTCTCTAGATGTAATCCAATTCCATTTTTTCATTTGTCTGTGTCACCCATGACCTCAGTATTGCCAAGTCCCCTGGTCAGTTCTTGTCCTCGTCTTAGATGTATTTGGCACCAACTCCCTTCCCTCTTAAAACACTCTTTACTTTGTTATATCTGACTGACTTCTTGACACCTCTTTTTTGGGTGCCAAGTAGTTTAGAGGTGAGGGAGCAAAGGAGCTTGTGAGTGGCCAGTGAAATAGGAGGAGCCTCGAGAGCTGGTGTCCTGAAAGTTGAGTGAAGGAGTGATGAACTGTGTCCTCTTGGAGACGGCGCTGCCTCATGAGGTGGTGATCATGTACAAGCAGAGACCTGGTCCTTGGGCCTCTTGTCATCTACACTCACTGCGAGTGTCAGAACTTCCTGCGTCCAAAACCAAACACACCAGTCCTACTCCTCCAGCACCCCAAGCACAATCTGTTTTCTTCTGCAGTCTTCCCCAATTTAGGTAATAGTCAGTCCTTCTTCCTTATTGCTTAGGCCAAGGCTTGGAGTCATCTTTGTCTTCTCTCTTCCTCTCATATCCCACATCCAGTCCATCAGCAAATCCTGTCAGCTTTGTCTTCAGAACATATCCAGAGTCTGACCACTGTCCACCCTTCACCATCACCACACATGCCCAGGCTACTAGCATCTCTGACCTGGATTATTGTAGTAGCCTCATCCTCTGGCCTCTCTGCCTTGTCTCTCCCTTCTCTCCTCCCTGTTTTCTTCATTCATGGGCATATAAGTCAGATCATGTCTATTCTCTCTCAGAACCCTCCTGTGACTCCCCATCTCAAAGTAAAAGCCAAAATTCCTTACCTCAGCACAAAGGCCTCTGCATACGCAGACCTCACGTACCGCTTTTTCTGTGGATCAGTTCATACCAGCCACACTGGCCACCCTGCTGTTCCTTGACACACCATACACACTCCTGCTGGGGCCTCTGTGCTTAGAGTTCCTTTTCCTCACTCCCAATCCACATGGGCTCATTTCATAGCTTCTTAAAGGCCCAGGAGGCATGCATGTCACCTCAGAGAGACCCTCAACTTCCTGTGAAAATTAGAGTCTGTGGGTGGTGCAAATGGTTAACATGCTGGGCTGCTAACAGGCTGGAGGTTCAAGTTCACCCAGAGGTACCTCAGAAGAAAGCTCTGGTGATCTGATTGCAAAAAATCAGCCATAGAAAACCCTATGGAGCATAGTTCTACTCTGACACGTGAGGTCGCTATGAGTTGGAGTCAACTACTTGGCAACTGGTAATCCCCCTTGTTCTGCTTTATTTTTTTCCATAGTACTTATCATCCATGATCTATATTTACTTATTCTGTGTTTTCTACTATATGATAAGCTACATGGACTTTGTCCATAGTGATTGACTGTTATACCCCACCCCCACACTTAAACACGCCTGACACTTGGTACAATTCACTAAATGCTGAATAAATGGCCCCTTCGGACCCCACAAGTCCTAGAGGGCCCTGAGAAACAAACTCAGCTTTTTGTTCTTTTTCCCCCTTAGGTAATATGGCAAAAGTGAAAAGACTATAGGCCTGGGAGGCAAACAGACTTGGAAAGAATCTCAGCTCTGTCACTCACTAGCTATATGGCCTTAGGCAACTGCCTTCACTTCTCTAAGCCTTAGTTTTCTCAGCTGTAACATTGGTGTTCACAATATCGACTTCATAGGGTTGTATGAGAAATAAATGAGCTATTGTTAGTACTGTATCATCACGATTATGTTCAGCTGCTTGTAACAGAAATCTGACATCAGTGGCTTTACAAAATAGGTTATTTTTGTAAGCAAGAAAAGTTCGGAGGTGGGCACATCAGGACTGGGGAGGCAGTTCAGAGGTGTCATCAAGGGCTCAGGTGTTTGCCCCACCATCTTTAGCTTGTGTCTGCTTTGTCCTCATGGTTGCAAGATGGCAGTTACACTTTCAAATACCTTGTCCATGTTCCAAGGGGGAAGGAGGAAAGAGCAAAGGAAGTGGAGGTTGATTCCGTTTAAGGAGCTCTCCGAGGTGTCCCGCCTGTGTCTTCCAGTTGTATCTAGTTGTTCACTACTGGGTCACATGGGCACCGCTGGCTACAAGAAGGCAGGAAGCAGGGGCGTTCCAACAGGGCACATGGCTTCTCCAAACAAAACGTGTTCTGTTTGTCAGGAAGGATAGTAGAGTGGATATTGGGCAGGCAACTAGCAGTACCAACTGCAGTGCCTGGTACCCAGGAGGTATGACTCAATATGACTATTTCTTGACGTGCTCTGAGGAAATGAGTGAAACCTTGGCCTTCCAAAGCTCCTTGTCTAACAGCCTGGCTGCTGGGCTGGGCTGGGTAACAGTCTTGCTTATATTTGCATAGCACTTCACATTTTTCAAAACATTTAAAAATAGACTTGATTCATTCATACTTTGTTAGAGCCTCACAAAACCTCTAAAGGAGAGACAATTTTAATCTATCCCATTTTTTTAAAATGAAGGGACCAAGGCAGAGACCATCCTTTCATTTCAGAAACATTTATTAAACGTCTACTGTGGGCCAAGCACCATTCTAGGCACCGTAGCAATGAACAGTCATTGGCAACAACACTCGCCCTCACGGAGTTCACCTTTTAGTGCTGATATGTCTAAAGTCAAAGTAAATGGAGGAACTGGGCCTAGAATTTCGTCTCCTAGCTCTGAGTCCAATGTCCTCCTCGAGACACTGCATCAAAGGTCCTCCCCACCCCTCAGCCAGCCATCTGCCCTTTTCTCCAAGCACTACCTTATACCCTGTAACACCTGCTGTTGTGGATACAACCCAGGTGAGCTCACCTTGAGCCAAATAGGTCAAGTTTACCAAATGGAATGAGCTAGGAAATAAAGCTAAGTATGGCTATGTGGGGAGGGATCTTGTCAGAGTCATGAACCTTAGTGCCAGACTGAAGTGACAGAATGACAGCATCTCTGTGTCTGTCTGCCTGTGGGTATGTCCCTTTGTAGTTCTGGCGTTACGGCTCTGGGGCCATTTCTCCACCTTCCTAAAGATATCGCAAGCTATTCCAGGCTAGGTGCAGAAGAGCATGTTTACCGCCACATTACTTATGCAAATCTATGCAAGAGGGCAGGACCAGCATCAACTCCAATTCCAATCTTGCTCCTTAGGGGCTTTGTCTAAATTGTGGAACAGAAACTCACAACCACTGCCTTTGCTCACTCAACCCCCAACTGAATGAAAATGTTACCTTTTTGTGTTTTAATGGAGCCAAATGAAATACAAAAATAAAAGACTTCTGAGTCAATTTGAGGAGCCCTGGTGGCACAGTGGTTAAGAGCTCAGGCTGCTAACCAAAAGGTCAGCAGTTCAAATCCACCTTGGAAACCCTATGGGAGCAGTTCTATTCTGTCCTATAGGGTCGCTGTGAGTTGACATCAACTTGACGGCAACGGTTTTTTTTTCTTTTTTTTAAGTCAATTTGAACAGGAAGCCCTTAATTTTAATAAAATTATCAACCTGGAACAAAAACCATACCATCAAGTGTTCACATTGAGTGGATATTATAACCACCTTGGGTCCCTTTAGTCGTACCTGGGAGTCAGAGCACGGAGGCACTTCCATAGCGCTCTCCTAAGTGGCGGCAGCTTCTGGGCTCCTGAGGACGCCTCCTCCCGGCTGCCGGAGGCAGGTGCAATGAGCATGTTGGTAATCAGGTCTCCCTGCTGAGCTGGCTGGGGTTGCTGTAGCAACAGGAAGCTGACTTGAGGGTGGAATTTTAAAATATCTCAGCTATAATAGTTTTTTTTTGTTTTAATCTCTGTCACTTCCTCAGTGCTGCATGGTGCTGCTGAGGACGGGCTATGCTGGGACGCCTTTTTCTCTGCTTGGGGCTCTTGGCAGCTTCTCCGGGGGTTGGAGGTGGGAGGATTATCTCAGGGTGTGAGCTGCTGGGAAGCTGAGAGAAACTCAGCTTCTGCTTCCAGCCTCCACCAGCTCTTGGTTTCAAAAGGCTTCTGTCATTTTCTCTTTTTTTGTGAGGGAGAGGATGGGGTCTAGCTTGAAACTCTCCCTGCCTCCCCCCATTCTGACTTGAACCTTCCAGAGTACAGTCCTAGAGAACAGCCTTAGCATTCCTGGCTGGGACCCTCTCTTTGGAGAGCACAGGGTGAGGGATGTTCTTTCCCTTCTTATCTGCTTCTTCCTTTGGTCTCTTAAACTTCTTGTTTTGGCTTCATTTATTCACTCAACAAATGAGTGTTGAGGACCTGAGAATCTACTCTTATGTTGGATAAGTTCATTACCGTCTTGATATTGGATCAGATATCAAACACTTATAAAGTTACAGTAATTAAGACAGTGTTCTATTGGCCGAGAGAGAGACACAGACCAATGGAAAAAAACAGCACCCAGAAGCAGACGCATACATATATGAAAATGTGGCTTGACAAAATTAACATTTCTTGCTCATTTCATGATCTGATGTGGGTCAGATGACTATTCTTGACCCTCTCCTCCAATTGGTGACTCAGGGATCCAGGCACCCTCCATTTTGTGATGCTGTCATCTTAAATACATGGTTTCCAAGATCTCTGTAGAAATAGGGAAAGACA